TATGACATTTCTCAATTCATTACAAAATTTGCCACATAATCAACATCATTATTTCTGGTAAATTCTATGGTCTTTTTTGAACTTATCACATAGGACCAAAATGGTTACACAATGATGTTCTTATAAAGCATCATCACCTTGGACTTTCATAACTAGTTCGAAATTCGAATATTGCTAAAAAATGTGTCTTTAGCTCAGAATTGCAAACACAAGAACCAAACTTTTTTCCTTCAACAAATTCCGTAAACCAAAGTATCATGTCCAAGGAAAAAAATAGTTTCTGCAATTAAATAGAGTGCAAAATCGACAAAATCGATAGTCACCATTGCGGTATAGAAATACCTCAAATGTTCAGCTAATTTACTTCCTAAATTCTAATATACAATAAAATTCATGAAACCCTGTAGCTAAAACAACTCCTTCTTGCAATTAAATAGAGTTAAATAATTGAAAAACTCGACAAACAACATCAGTGTATAGAAAGACCCCCAAATGTTCAGCTAAATTACTTTCTAAGAGACAATAACTCATGAAACCATGTAGTTAAAACAACTCCTCCTTGCAATTAAAAAGCGTGCAAACCGGAAAAATCAACAAACACCATCGCTGTATAAAAAGACCCCAAATGTTCAGCTAAATTTATTCCTAAGAGACAGTAACTCACAAAACCCAAGAGACAGTAACTCACAAAACCCCGTAGTTAAAACAACTCATTCTTGCAATTAAATAGTGTTCAAACCGAAAAAATCAACAAACACCATCGCTGTATAAAAGACCCTCAAATGTTCAGCTAAATTTCTTCCCAAGAGACAATAACTCACGAAACCCTGTAGTTAATACAACTCATTCTTGCAATTAAGTAGTGTTCAAACCGAAAAAAAATCAACCAACACCATCGCTGCGTAGAAAGACCTCCAAATGTTCAGCTAAATTAGTTCCCCCTATAGCTAAATCTACTTGTTCTTGCAACCTAGAAACTTCCAAATACTAGATTTGGAAGCTGAAAAAGGTAACATACAAGAACCCCAGATTCAATTGTATCTAAAATTACAAATAATACACAGAGGGAGAGAGAGCGCGAGCTCTTACCAGAAGAGAATGACGAAGAACAATGAAATTGAGCCGCTAAAGCTGCACTTGGAGACACTGCCATATCTCAAACGTTGTCTGATAACACAGATTAGACCGAAAGATCCTAAATTGCGAAAGGTTTCAGCACAAGAAATGGGTAGACAGAGAGAGATTTGGAGGGTTGGGGTTTAGGTGTGGAGTTTCTGATAAAAATCTCGTCTTTACAAAAGGATGGGCTCTCCCCTGTAAGAATTTCAAGGTCCAAAAATTTACAGAAGCACCCCAAAAGATTTTTTTTATTGCTCTACAGTCTACACAATTTGGATATTTCTAAATTGTGATGGGGCCCATGTAATTTTAAGGAATTCGTT